TAGGTAATGAGAAAAAAGTCAATTGTTTAACTTTGGTTAGTTCGATGGTGTTAATAAAAGATAGTTAACTTGGTTGTTGTCTGCTATTTTGTTTTATGACAGTAACGGCTGGCGGTGAAGAAGGACTAGGGGGATTAGCTGATAAGGGGAAATCGATAATGATTGATGCAGAAAATGGGAGTGGTCAGTTCTTCAACTCGCAGGGTTTTGATGAACATGGTAAGTTAATGATTGATTGCTAACGCCAATTTTACCCGTTACAGGGATAAGATATTGGTAAAATTATAAGTTAGCGTTTACAGCTGTTTATGTGATACTTCTAGGTTAGCTGTCGCTTTATTACATAAATTTTTTTTGAACCGTTAATTGATATGATAGTTGTAAAATTATTGTTTGCTCTACATCATTGGAATCAGCTGATAAAGGGGAATCGATGATGATTGATGCAGGAAATGGGAGTGGTCAGTTCTTCAACTCGCAGGATTTTGATGAACATGGTAAGTTAATGCTTGATTGCTAGCGCCAAGTTTACCCGTTAAAGGGATCAGATATTAGTAAAATTATAAGTTAGCGATTACGGCTGTTTAAGTGATACTTCTAGGTTAGCTTAAATAAATTTATTTTTAACAGTTAATTGATATGATTGTTGTAAATTATATGTATCTGTTGATTGCTAATTTTATAATAGCAATAGTTTACCTCTTCGGTTTTGGTTAGCTATATATACATATCAGTTAATAGTTTTGTTGACTGTTAAATGCATATGTTTAATAATTGTTTCCAGATGACAATGGAATGGGCAAGAATGATCGTCTTTTTGTTGGGCAAGTCTTTCAAGACCGTGAGGCTTTCAAAGTCCACATGTCGCTCTATGCGTTGGCTAACAAGTTCAGATACTTTGTGAAGAAGTCTGCGATTGGGAGGGTTGTCCTAAAGTGCATAGGAGTTAACTGTGACTAGCGTGTGTACGCAACTAAGATCCCAGGTTGCCAGCGGTTTGAAATCAAGACGTTGGAAGGCACCCACAGTTGCACTGTCGAGGAGAGGGGAGAGTTTAGGAAACATGCAACCTCCTCAATTGTGGGAGGTATTATGAGAAGAAAGTACGTTGGCACAGGCAGTGGATCAAGACCCAGAGCTGTGAGAGAGATGATGAGGACGGACCACAGTGTTCCGATATCTTACTGGACTGCTTGGAAGTCGAGGGAGATTGCTATAGAGAATGGACGTGGAAATGCTGAGGAAGCGTATAGCACTTTACCTTCCTACCTCCAGCAGTTGGCAGTCGCGAATCCTGGGACTCTGGTAGCTTTGGAGACAAACAAGGGGCATGATGGTAGGCAGCGTTTCAAATACCTCTTTCTGTCTTTTGGGGCAAGCATCGCAGGATTCGCTTTCATGAGAAAGGTGATTATCATTGATGGGACTCACTTGAAGGGGAAGTTTGCTGGGTGTTTGCTAACAGCAAGTGCACAAGATGGGAACTATCAAATATTCCCAATTGCATTTGGGGTTGTCGATAGCGAGAATGACCTTTCGTGGACGTGGTTCTTCACCAAGCTCCTTGCCGTGGTGCCGGATTGTGAGGACATTGTATTTGTCTCAGACAGACACACTGCTATCTACTCTGGAATACGCAGGGTAAGCATCTAGTACCTTTACCACTTATCAAAATTTGAGATTCGATAATTGTTAGCTTAGATGCTTTGTAACGGATATATAAAAAATTAACCTGTTAAGACGTAGGTTAGCAGTTCAGTGTAATGGTTATCCGTCTAAGATTAAACATAGTTAGAAATTGAGAGGATAAAAACTTAATTATCTGCTAATATTGATGTTACCTTGTGGACTTATTTGTGTTAATTTATTAAGATAGCAGTTAAGTGTGATGTTATTAAACATAGCTCGCAAATGTTATACTATAAAAAGTTACGTATCTGCTAATAATGATGTTACTTAGTGGACTTATTTGTGTTCATTTGTTAGGTTTATCCAATGGCCAAGCATTGTGCTTGTCTGCTACATCTCCAGAGGAACGTCCAGTCCATCTTCAAGAAGAAACATTTGCTCTACATCCTGGGAAAAGCAGCACGGGCTTACAAGTTGGAGGATTTCTACATCCACTTCAACGAGCTCAAGGTGGTGGACATTGCTTGTGCGGATTATCTGATCCGAATAGGACTGGAACATTGGGCTAGGTCTCATTTTGATGGAGCAAGGTACAACATTATGACAAGTAACCTGGCTGAATCACTTAATGCGGCACTATCTGAGGCTCGTGAATACCCAATTGTCCCGCTGCTGGAGTATATCCGATCAATGATGATGGGTTGGTTCTCTGCAAGACGTGAAGCAGCTGCAAATAACATGGGGGCGCTAACTCCGAAGGTTAACGATGTCTTGACTAAGAAATTCACCGAGTCCACCGGATATGTCAACAATCACATCATCGAGAATGAGTACGAAGTAGTTGATGACAATGGGTTGTACTACCGAGTGGATCTTGATAAGAAGACTTGCTCTTGCAAGGAGTTCGAGGCGCTGGACATCCCTTGTGCGCATGCTGTGTCAGCAGCTATTTACGCAAAAGAGTCCGTTGAGAGTAAGGTTTCTGTGTTTTACACAACCGCATACTGGGCTGCAGCATACGGTGGAAGCATCAACCCGGTGGATCATGCCAAAATTGCTGCCTATAAGTTTGGTGTTGAAGGAGAGAATGGCCACCTTCGTCCTCCAGCAACTCGCCGCCCACCAGGGAGGCCAAGAAAGGCAAGGATTCCATCACGTGGAGAGTTCAAGGTTTGTGTCCTTTTTTGAGTCAAATGATGTTTTAGCGTTTATTATGCCGGTTAACGGATACAAACACTGGTGACATGTAAAAAATTGGTTGAATGCAGGGAAATGGTGGTTTGAAGCGCCGCAGGACTTGCAGCAGATGTGGAGGAACTGACCATAACAAAGTCACTTGTAAGATGCCTATCTGAAGATGAAGAAGAAGAAGACTATGTAGGGGTGAGTGGAGTTGTAGTGTTTCTTTTGTAATGGCCAGATATGGGGCGGCCTTCTATTTTATGGTATGAACTATTGTTATGATGTACTAAACTATGTTCCCCAAAGCTGCCCACATTGACACATACTATGTGCAATGGAGGGTGTGGATCTACTCACCCATTTTTAATTTTCCACTTGTTGTAATGTTATCTTATGAACTCTTTCAACTATGTTTCTAAGTTTCTATGTTAACTGTTAAGATGGGTGTTACAAGGCTCAAAGCTTAAGTTAAGTTTTATTTTCCAGAAATTGTCTAAGATTCACATAAGGTAATGGTGACTTAACCGTTAAACGGCCAAAGTTACAAACGAAGTTGTATGTTAACTGCTAAGTTAAAACAGAAACAAAAGGATTATGTATTAAGATTAGAATCACCATGATATAGATCAGGTAAGACCATTTTTTCTGTGAGCCCAAGTTACAAGTGGAACCAAGGCTCAAAGCTTAAGTTAAGTTTTATTTTCCAGAAATTGTCTAAGATTCACATAAGGTAATGGTGACTTTACCGTTAAACAGCCAAAGTTACAAACAAAGTTATATGTTAACTGCTAAGTTAAAACATAAACAAAAGGATTATGTTTTGTTTTCAACTTAGTATGGATGGTAAGTGATGAATACAATTATGTTTTATTTTCATCTTTGTTAACTGCTAAGAGAAATATTATCACACTCAGTTCCTATGTTAACTGTTAAGATGGGTGTTAACGCTCAATCTACCTGAATGTCATGTAAGTTAACAAACCATGACGAACGCTAAGCATGTACGTTAACCCTTACCGACTGAATCCGATGACTTAACCGTTAAACGGCCAAAGTTACAAACGAAATTGTATGTTAACTGCTAAGTTTAAACATAAACAAAAGGATTATGTTTTGTTTTCAACTTAGTGTGGATGGTAAGTGATGAATACAATTATGTTTTGTTTTCAACTTTGTTAACTGCTAAGAGAAAAATTATGTTAACTGTTAAGATGGGTGTTAACGCACAATCTAACTGAATATCATCTTAGTTAACAAACCATGAAGCACGCTAAGCATGTAAGTTAACAACTACAAATTAAAGTTATAAGGGAAATGTCATTAACCAAAGTTCGAAATGAGAAATCCGGGGGAAGAAAAGCTAAAAACGAAACAGACAACAGCATTGAGTGTAGCGATAAGTACGAAATAGAGAAGATAAAATAAAATTCAAACAGAGAGATCATCGAAGAGTTTGACAGCCAACTGCTTGGCTGCATCTGGGAGCAGACGAGGAGTGATAGCCTTGCAACCACCAAGACCATCGATGGCGTGAGCTTCGATAAACAGAACTGTCATGACTGCTGCATCAGTATGAGTGGAGATTTGCGGTATTCCCCTGCATCTGGAGACTGTAAAGGACTTCAGCCCAGCGTTACCTTCCGTATATCCGAGGTGCTTGAGAACATATGGGATGAGGTTAGCAATTGGAGTAAGCTCCTTCTTCAGCAAACTGTCACTTCGAAGGGAAGTGTTGCAGTCCAAAAGATGGAGAGTGTTCGCTTTCACATCGAGGCAGACTCCAACCCAGTGTTTCCTGTCAATGTTAAATGGGAAATATATCCTCTCAGGCGCCTTCGGAATGGGGCTTTCCAGTGGGACATTGTTGAACTTAAGCTTCACACGGTCTTTTACTGCTGTCTTGACAAAGCGAGAGTGGTGGTTCATTAAAGCAACTGGAAGGGCTGTGTCATATATACCAACTTTGGGACTAGAGGCAAGACCACGAGACACAACTCCTATAAAGGCGTCCATGACACCACAGGATAATATGTTCTTGCGATGACCAATATCACAAAACTCGGCTGGAGTCACCGAGTACCCAGAGTTTAGAATCACTATCCTGTAACGTATTTAGTTAACGGTTAATGAGGTGATTTGAAGGTTACGGAAATACTTATCGATTAAGATGATGGGATATTGTTATTTGCTTACGATTCATTTAGCAGTCGCTGCTCCATAAGCTCAAAACGTTTGTCAAGATCAGATATTATGGATAGACCAGCTGTTACTCCGTCACATTTGTAGTCTTGCAGAACAACCGGAGCGACCTTTGCCCTTTTGCTCTTACGCTGCTCCAGAGCCTCTTCTTCGTGTCCCTTGGAAACGGGTGCATCCTCCTGCGATAGTCCGAGTGAGAAAGACGGCATTTCGAACAGATAAAAAGGTATTTGCATCTGATTTTGTGTGAAAATGCATTAGCAATGCGCAAGAACAAAGTAGCCGTTGTGTCTAATAAAATACCTAGGAAAAAAAAAGGATTACCTCGTCCATATCAACTTCTTCTGACACGGCCTCCTGGTTTGCAGTTGGATCAACATCAGCGGCTTGTTGGTTTTGCTGAATAAAACAGACAGAGTGGGAGAGACATTACAGAGTAACACATATGTAATTATATTTAGCAAATATGTCAAATGGTAGCGGTTAAGTAAATTGGTTACATGAGCTGACAAAGGGATTACCTCGTCAATATCAACTTCTTCGGACACGGCCTCCTGGTTTACAGTAGGATCAACATCAGCGGCTTGTATGTTTTGCTGAATAAATCAGACAGAGTGGGAAAGACATTATAGAGTAACACATGTAATCATATTTATCGACTAAGTGATATGGTAGCGGTTAAGTAAATTGGTTACCTGAGCGGTCAAGCCAGTTTCTATTACATTTCCCTCATTATGCTCCTTCAATATTGCGATGGCATTGGGTGGGGAAAGATGTTCCTGCACGTATGCTCAATTTTGTTAGTGTGGAGTTCACAGAATAAGTTAGCGGCAAATGACTATTCTTACCTCGTCCATAGGTGTAGAGTCGTCTACATGTTCGTGGATTTGCTTCGCCTGGGGGTGTGGGTCATCACCGTCTGGTCCTCCCATCCTTACCTACTCTGTGTTCAGGTTAGCGACCACTTCCTCCTCGTCCAGTTGCTGATCCGTCTGATGATATAGCCATATTAATCTTAGCAGCAAAACTAACATTTTATACTCCAAGTAATGTATTTACCTCTTCCATAGGTGAGGAGTCATCATCGTTTGGTCCTTGATGAAGTGAGACGGGTACTGCTCCTAAGATCCGTTCCTGCTCTTTCACTTGATGCTCCGACTGATGAGAAAATTTAACAAGTGTTAGCAGATAAACTAAGATTTATACACCAAGTTATGTACTTACCAAATCCATCGGTGCGGAGTCATCAGCGATGGGTCCTTCATGATCAAGTTGGGCAGGTGCTCCTGCTGTTGTTGCAGGGAGAGAAGCATCAGAAGCATCAGAAGCTACGTTCAAAGCGCGGAGCACGTCGTTGATGCGGCAATCAGCAGCTTCTGATGGGGTTGTGAAATCATACAGGGGTGGCTCTGTTGGTTCTGTGACGGTGGCAGGGATAGCATTGGTCGCCCCAATGGCATCAATTACACCCTTTATTATCGCGGCCTGCATATCCTTAAGTTGACGACCTATAGAATCACCGATCTTCTTGTCCAAGTCCTGTAGGCATCGTGAAATGGTAGACTCGAGGAGGTGCTGAGATTGACCAGTAGGAGGAACAAGTTTCTCTAACTTCGAATCCAGAGCTTTGTATATTCGCTTCTCCAATGAGAAAATCATATCGTGAAACTCCGATGATCCATCGCATTCTGAACCCTCCACAACGTGCTCCTTTTCATTTTTATCTTTCGGTTCTTTCTCCTTCAGTTTCTTTTCTACCCTCAAACGTGAAAGGTCAAGAGCGTTAAGACCACCTTTAAACATTTCCTTCCTAAATACAAAACCCTCAAGGATCAATCGGACCATGTTGTCGACAGCCAGATCGTCGGTCTCATCAATCCATTTAAAATCTAAGCCAGCAGACCAATCTTCGTAAGGCTCATCGATAATAGACTTCACTGCCACCTGCAATACAGACGAACATGTAAATGTTTATAGTACAAGAAAATGATTAGCGGTTAAGTGTTGGTAATACAGATAAATAAATAATTGACTAAGAATTAGTATCATTGATGTTAACATCTAACATAGCTATTACATAATATAGGTAAGAGTTAGAGGAAATGTTAGCATTAACATATACACGAACAGGTCAACGGTTATAGTACAACAACATGAATTAGCGGTTAAATGTTGGTTTAACAGATAAACAGTTAGGTTAATGTTAACAAGTGTAGCTGCTAGATTCTAAGTTGTTAACAACTAACATATCTATAACATCATATAAATAACGGTTAAGGTAAACTGTTAGCATTTAACATATACCTTGCACTCGGAATCTATGGTCTTAGCGTGTCCGGGTATGAGACAATACTTTGTCTCCTGTGGTGGTTTACCCTGTCCTGCCACGTTCTCATCCTCTGTCAATGTCTCTTGGCCTGTCTGGGTCTCGCCGTCGCTTTCTGAATCCACTATAACAACACGTTCAGATTGAGTGACTTCTTCCTTAAGCTGAGGGATGGCAGAGAGCATAATCAGTTGAATTGCCTCAACGTAACCACGGATCGCGACGGACGTCTGTGATAGTGCGATTTCATCTTTCCCATTTAGTGATGCAGCGAGTGTTTCGTAAGAGGCTCTGCCCCAGGGAAATGCGAGAAACTCATCTAGATCTCGAATCAACTCTACATGCTCCGGGATGATATGGGGGGTGTGTGAAGAGGCAAAGAGAATCGACGATGTGATAACAAGAAACGTAATCTTTATCCTCAAATCTCTTGATTTTACGACCTTGTTCTGTAACATATCAATGGCTGTCGCGACGGTGCAGTACTTCAACGATCCAAAGAGTTCGTTCCAGTAGAGCTTCTCTTTAAGCGGATTCTTCTTCTTCTTCTTGAGGGGGATCTTCGCGCAGTTCAAACCGGTGACAATGGCAAACTCTCGAAGTGACATTCTAATAGGGTTTCCAGCAAGGAGAAACCAAAACTCGTACTTTTTGTTAACCTTGAGGAGACTCACGACGAGGTGTTGCCCAAAGGCCCCAGAAAACTACGGGTTCTCATCAATCGCAAGAATCCTACCAAATGTTGAGTTCCGAATGAACTCTCTCTCTCTTCTGGTTCGAGTGCGGCGATAATCGCTCTAGTGGTCTTGATTTTATGATTGCAATTGACCCGGTCGCCCAACGGTTCATCACCGGCAGCGAACATTCTGGGCGGTAGCAAGATGTCTTCCATCGATAAGATTAGGGTTTGCTCAATGAATTGGGGATTTCTGGAAAGGAAGAGATAAAGGCCGGAGAGAGAGAGAAAGGGTGAGAGTGACAACTGAGTCGGTTCATCTCTGGTTTTAAATAAAACCGACAGCGACAGGAAACTGAAGAGACATGAATCTCTGAATTGTCCAATGGGTGAAAGGGTGTAATCTGACACCTACTTGCATATCACGCGCCAATTCATTTCGAAAGTGTGTGGTCTCATAAGGGTAAAACCGTCAAAAAAATAGGTTGACTAAAGTAGGGTTATGTGACATAATATAGGTTTCTTTAGGGTAATTTGTGCCAATTTCTCTGAATTTAATTGTCTCCTTTTGATTCCAGAGGCTGTTAACGGTCATATTGAGTCTCCATAACCCCTTCCTTGCCTTGCAAGTCACTCATGGTCAAGATGAAGCTTGTGGAGCAAGTTTGTACTGACAGATTTAAATCTGCTTGTTTCGGATGCTTAATTTGCTTGCTCCTGATATTTGGTCTCTTCATCAACTCCATCTTTATTTATTCTTCATTCCAACAGAAACTGGACCAGGAGAAACTCAAGTACCAGAAGGAAATAATGAAGGAAATAATGATGGTTTTCCTGGTGCAGAGGTTCAGGTTCAAGACCAAGCTGAAACTCCTCTAGAAAGTGAAGATGGATCAGTAGAAACTCAAGATGATGGGGTTGAGACTGAACCAGAAGCTCAACCATTAAGAAGAAGCACCAGAATTCGGCAGCCTCCTTCCAACTGGATCAATACCAGAGTTTACTTCAACTCCCAAGCAGTAGCTCATCCAACACAAGCAGTGTGTTCCTTGGCTCAATATCCTCAGGAACATATGGTGTTCATGGGAGAGTTAGACCAGGAATATATTCCCAAGTCATATAAAGAAGCCATGAAAGACAAAGAGTGGAGATAATCTGTGGGGAGTGAAACAAATGCTATGATTATTAATGATACATGGTAGGAAGTGGAACTTCCCAAAGGCAAGAAGGCAGTGACCAGTCGTTGGATTTTTACCATTAAGTACAAGGCTGATGGGACAGTGGAGAGGAAGAAGACAAGGCTGGTGGCAAGAGGCTTTACTCAAACGTATGGAGAGGACTATCTTGACACATTTGCACCAGTTGCCAAACTCCACACCATAAGGATCATTCTCTCCTTGGCAGTCAACTTAGAATGGGATCTATGGCAAATGGATGTGAAAAATGCATTTCTGCAAGGAGAGCTTGAGGATGAGGTCTACATGAAACCACCTCCTGGTCTGGAGCATTTAGTTAAACCAGGAAGTGTTCTTAGGCTGAAGAAAGCCATATATGGCTTGAAGCAATCCCCTAGAGCATGGTACCACAAGCTGAGCACCACTTTAAATGGAAGAGGATTTGTGAAGTCTCAAGCTGATCACACATTGTTTACCCTAACCAGCCAGCAAGGAATAGTGGTGATTCTTGTCTATGTTGATGACATTATCATCACAGGCAGTGACAAGGAAGGTATACTCTCAACTAAAGCATTTCTTAAATCATCTTTTGATATCAAAGATTTGGGAGAGTTAAAGTACTTTCTAGGGATTGAGATGTGCCGATCTAAAGAGGGGCTATTCCTATCCCAAAGAAAGTACACCCTTGATTTGTTAAATGAGGCAGGTGACTTAGGAGGAAGAGCAGCCAAGACACCACTTGAAGATGGCAACAAAGTATTGTGTGAGGGGGAGTATGAAGACAAACCCTATGAAGATGTCAAGCATTATAGGAGAATGGTTGGGAAACTCATCTACCTTACCATCACTCGGCCAGATGTATGTTTTGCAGTCAATCAAGTGAGTCAATACATGCAAGCTCCCAAGATACACCACTGGAACATGGTGGAGAGAATTTTAAGATATCTAAGAGAAGCACCAGGACAAGGAGTGTGGTTGGGATGCAACAAGAGCACTGAAGTTGTAGGATATTGTGATGCTGATTGGGCTGGTGATAGAGTGGACAGGAGGAGGTCTACTACTGGTTATTGCACCTTCATCGGAGGAAATTTAGTTACTTGGAAGAGCAAGAAGCAGAAGGTGGTGTCATGTTCAAGTGCTGAGGCAGAGTATAGGGCAATGAGGAAGCTTACTAGTGAGCTCATTTGGATCAGAAACCTACTACAAGACTTGGGAATAGAGGTGACAACACCAATCACAATGCATTGTGACAATCAGGCTGCAATTCACATAGCATCAAACAATGTGTTTCATGAAAGGACCAAACACATTGAAGTAGATTGCCATAAGGCCAGACAAGCAGTGGAGCAACAAATCATCTTACCTTGCTATACAAGAAGTGAAGATCAATTGGCAGACATCTTTACCAAGGCGGCCAGTTCCAAAGTCTGTGAGTTCATCCATTCAAAACTTGGACTCATACACCTCACAAGTCACTGATCCCCCTTAGCCATGAAGGCTTTACTCTTTTTCCTTGGATTGGTTTTATCCCATGCGGTTTTACTTGCTAAGGTTTTAATGAGGAAGTCTTCATGGGTTCCAAGCTTGACTTGTTCCACATGGTCAAGCTTGAGGGGGAGTGTGAACCAGAAGGCTGTGTGTGCCTCTTCCTCCAGTCACTTTCTCACCATTCTGGACGTGCCCAGCCTGTCCCAGCCAGCCTGCCCCTTCTGATTTCCCCACAATATTATTGTTTATCCATTCCCTACACAAGTAATTGTTTATTAGCTAGTTTGTTGTGTAGTTGGGCTATATATTAGCCTCTCTTGTAATCAAAACAAATTAAGCTGAA